GTTAGTACACAGTGATTCTTGTTGTTAGTTTAACAATGAGCACTCTTATGTATGTCAATGATCACCCAAGGCTCTTGACATGAGCTGCCTAGGCTATGGAAGCCTTTTGAATCCACGAACTCCTTCAGTATTTAGACAAGGCTGTAAGCAAAGTGGAAGTTCTCTCCTGCCTTCAGAGAAAATTACCTCCTTGACGACCACTTCTTTCCACTGGATCTTCCTAAATTCTAACAACGATTCTGGGAGATACCTGCAGCTGGCAGGAACAACTCTGGGAATTTTAGGCAGGAAGAATTTTAATGGGGTGCTACAAAGTCACTGCAGAGCTGGAGGAATAGGCTCTGGTCTGGGCACCCAGGATTGAATTCCCGATCAATAAGAACTGGTCAACATTGGGAGATGCTTGCCCTAAAACTATCATTGGAACTACTGAGTCTTCAACAGTCCCCTGGCTGTAAGCCAGAGATTAGAACACAGAATCAAGAATCTCTGCCCCCACTGCTTCCCCATAACCACTGTTCATCCAGGAGACTGGGGACAGGCCACTAGAACATTGCTACAAAACCTCTCCTGCCCACACTCCTGCATGCCAGCATAAGGATCAAGAAGAAAGTTTGTGCTTCTGCCTCACTTGATCTTCCGGCTCCTGAGCAACTGTCTCCCCCTAGCAGCAGGTCCTATATTGCATCCCGAGCCCAAGCTGCAAAGGAATCTGGGAAATGTAGATTGTAGCATACCAGACCATGCTGCACAGGAAAGCAGCCTAGAAGGAAGGCGGGATGGGGGTTGAGTAAACCAACCCACAGCATTACCAGCCAATGCAAAGTGATGACTAGTATCATTTCTACATCTTACAGACAGGAAACTGCAGCAAGGAAAGGTTAGGGAATTTGCCCAAAGTAACCCTGCAGGTTAGGGTGAAGCCAGGATTCAATCCCAAGGGGCCCGACTTCAGAGCACATGCTCTTAAATGATCTACTTCAAGAAAGGACAGTTTACAACCTTAGGCAGAATATTACAAAACAGACTTTTTCTGCAGAAAATTACAACATGAAACTTTACTTTTTAAAATTACACCATCCCCAAAAAATTGTCAGTATGGGACTCTAAATTCAGCAGAACTGCCTGAAATAGAATTCAAATATTTAAGAACTGTAAAAAATCCAGTTTCACGTGTGGATAGAAATAGAAAAATGAAGCAACACTATTTCATTCAATTCAGAATATCCTGAGAAAAAAGAGAAAAGTGGAGAAACCACAGTGCTAGAACATCAGCAGGCTGTTCTGCCTCTTTCTTGCAGGGTCACAGCAAAAGGCAGACAGGAAACTATACACCTACCAAAAGAAAACCCAAGGGGAAAAAGATGACATTGGCCCGGGCAATGATTTTTGGATGTGATCCCAAAAGCATAGGTGGGCAATGAAAGCAAAAATAGACAAATAGCATTATGTCTACAAGAAAAGCTTTTACACCACAAAGGGAACAATAGAAGGAAGAGACAGCCAGCAGACTAGGAAAAAATATTTGTACTTAATACATCAGATAAGGAGTTAGAATCCAAAACATACAAAGAACCAAAACTACTCAATAACAAGAAAACAAATAATCTTATTTAAAAATGGGCAAGGAACCTGAATAGACATTTCTCCAAAGAAGATATAGAAATGACCAACAGAAACATGAAAAAAAAAATGCTCAATGTCACTAGTCATCAGGGAAATGCAAGTCCCAGCTGCTCCACTTCCAGTCTAGCTCCCTGCTAATGCACCTGGGAAAGCAGTGGAAGATGGCCCAAGTGGTTGGGCCCCTGCACCTATATGAGAGACCTGGAAGAATCTCCTGGCTCATGGCTTCAGCTTGACCCAGCCCTAGCCATTATGGCCATTTGGGAGTAGATGGAAGATTCTCTCTCTCTCTCTCTCTCTCTCTCTCTCTTTCTGTCCCCCCCCAACCTTCCTCTCCCTCTCCCTCTCATTTTCTGCCTTTCAAATAAATAAATAAAATGTTTTTAAATCCTCAAACATTTTCAGATTGGCCCAGCTCCAGCCATTGTGGCCATTTGGGGAGTGACCCAGCGGATAGAAGACTTATCTCTGTGTCTCTACCTCTCTCCGTAACTCTGCCTTTCAAATAAATTTTTTTTTTAAATCTTTAAAAAAATAAAAAACAAAATTCATGCATTGGGGCCAGCACTGTGACACAGTGGGTTAAGCCACAGCCTGTGGTCCTGGCATCCCATATGGTCACCAGTTCAAGTCTCAGTTGCTCCACTTCTGATCCCTGCTAATGCACCTGAGAAAGCAGCAAAAGATGGCCCAAGTTTCTGGGCCCCTGCCAACCACATAGGAGACCTGGAAGAAGCTCCTGGCTTTTGAGTTCAGCCTGGCCCAGCCCTGGCCATTGCAGCCATTTGGGGAGTGAACCAGCAGATGGAAGATATTTCTCTCTCTCTGTAACTCTGCCTTTCAAATAAATAATATTTTTTAAAAAGATTGAAAAGAAGAAAAATTACCCTGCTTTGACATCATACAGATTTAATTTTTAAAAAAAGAAATAAAAAAAAAAACTTCACACACAATGAAATATCACCTCCTACCTGTAAGGATAACCATTATCAAAAAGGATGAAAGATAGCAAGAGTCTGCAAGGATGTGAGGAAGAGGCCCCCTGGTGTACTGTTGGTGGGAATGTAAATTAGTACAGCCATTATGGGAGACAGTATGGAGGTTCCTCAAAAAACTAAAAACAGAATTACCATACGATCCAGCAATCCCACTTCTGTGTGTATATATATCCAAAGGAATTGAAATCAGTATGTCAGAGAGACATCTGCAGGCCCATGCTCATTGCAGCACTATTCATAGTATCCAAGATACAGAAACAACCTAAGTGCCCATCAACAGATGAATGGATTTTTAAAATTATATATAGACTTCAAAATAGCTATTGAAAATGCGCAGTATAGGGGAGGGCATTTGGCACAGCAGTGAGGCTGCCAATTGGCACGCCTACATCCCATATCAGAGTGTCTGGCTCAATCCTGGCTACTCTGCTTGTTTTTTTTTTTTTTTTAAGACTTATTTATTAATTTGAAAGTCAGAGTTTATAGAGAGAGGGAAAGACACAGAGAGAGAGAGATCCTCTATCCACTGGTTTACTCCCCAGTTGGCTGCAACAGACAGGGCTGGGCCAGGCCAAAAGCCAGGAGCCAGGAGCTTCTTCTGGGTCTCCCACATGGGTGCAGTGGCCCAAGTACTTGGGCCATCCTCTACTGCTTTCCCAGGCCATAGCAGATAGCTGGATGGGAAGTAGTATAACCGGGACACAAACAGAAACCTAAATGGGATGCTGGCATTGCAAACGGAAGCTTTACCCTTAAGCCACAGTGCCAGCTCCTACTCTGCTTCTGAACCAGCTTCCTGCTAATGTGTACCCTACGAGGTAGCAGGTACTTCAGCCCCTCCCACCTATGGGGGAGACCCATAGTAAGAGTCAGGCTCCTGGCTTTGGCCTGGCCCATCCCTGGTAGGAATTTAAGGAGTGAACCAGCAGTTAGAAGATCTCTCTCTCTCTCTCTCTCTCTCTCTCTCTCCCCCCCCCACCCCCTTTCAAATAAATGAAAATAAATATACTTTTTAAAAGAAAATGTACATTATCTTTTAATGACATTCTCCCAGAAACATTTGAAGCATACATACATACATATTCTCTCTCTCTCTCTCTCTCTCTCTCTCTCTCTCTCTCTCTCTCTCTCTCTTATACTATGCAGCCTTTAAAAAAGAAAAAACTCTGCCATTCGCAACAACATGGATGAATCCAAAAGACAACATGTGAAGAGAAATAAGCCAGGCACAGAAAGGCAAATACCTTGTGATCCAACATACATGGAGAACCTACAAAAGGTAGAATCATGGATGTAGACAGCAGAATAATGGTTCCCAGAGGCTGGGCAGGTGATGCAGGGAGAGGAGGCATGTTGCTCAAAGGACGTGGAGTTTCAGCAGGTCAGGTGCTGTCTTGCACAGCATGGTGACTGTAGTCAATAGCAATGTGCTATATATTTCAGAAATGCTGTAACAGGGGCTGGCACTGTGGTGCAGAGGACAAAGCCACTGCCTGCGGTACCAGCATCCCATACAGGCACCAGTTTAAGTCCCAGGCGCTTCACTTACAATCCAGCTCTCTGCTAATAATGGCTTAGGAAAAGTAGCAGAAGATGGCCCAGGTAGCTGGGCCCCTCCAACTTCATTGGAAACCTAGAGGAGGCTCCTGGCTCCTAGCTTCGGATCAGTGCAGCTCAGGCCATTGGGACCATCTGGGGACTGAACCAGCGGATGGAAGACCTCTCTGTCTCTACTTCTCTCTGTAACTCTTTCAAATAAATAAAATAAATCTTTTTTTAAAAAAGAAAGAAAGAAAGAAATAGAAGAAACAAAATGCAAAGAGACACCTATGAAAAACCTGAACTCTATCGACTACCAGGTTCAAAGCTACCAGCAAAAGTCCTAAGAGGAGCCTGCAGTTGTCATGAACTCTGCTGATGTCACCAAGACCCTGCACTGCCACACAGAGGTAGAGCTATTCCCAAATCCAACTCCCTGGGAGCGGAGGCTCACCACAGTCCTAAGGGGGTGATCCCTTGTGCCCAAGGGAAACTGTCTAAAATTAAAGGACTGGAGCGCGAATGAGGAGGAGTGGGTTAAGCCACAGCTTGCGAATGCAGCATTCCATACCAGAGTGCCAGTTTGCATCCCAGCTACTCTGTTTCCAATCAAGTCTCCTGTTAATGCACCTGGAAGGTGGCCCAAGTGCCTGGACTCCACAAGGGAGACCCAGATGGAGTTCCTGGCCAGACTTGACTGCTGCAGCCATCTGGGGAGTGAAAATCAATCTCTCTCTCTCTCTCTCTCTCTCTCTCTCTCTCTTTCTCTTTCTCTTTCTCTTTCTCTTTCTCTTTCTCTTTCTCTTTCTTTCTCTCTCTCTCTGCCAGCCTCCCCTGCTGCTGCTGGTGGCCTGCCTTTCAAATAAATAAATAGTTTAAAATAAATTAAGTTAAATTAGAGGATCACTTTGGCAGGTTCTTTTTGCTTCTCTTACCAATTGTGGATCCAAGAGAGAAGACATGCTGCAAACATCAGATTCAGCGGCCTCATCTTCAGAATAGTAAGGAGTTCAGCACCAGCATCACTCAGACTTGCCCCCAGCACCAAGATGTGATCTCTCTACATGACAATGTCCAGTAAGTAAGAGCCAGGCCACCAGGGAGGAAGGAGAAGATGGAGAAAGTCAGCATCGGTGTTGAGCAGGAACATCAGGAAGCAGCAAGGGGAGGGACAGCAGCACAGGTCTCTGGATTTGGCTTTTACTCTGCCCCCTGGTAACTGTGTGCCTCTAAGCAAGTTACCTCACCTCTCTGATCTCTTGCTTCCTCACCCACAGAAGGGGACGTGGTGACTATCTCCTGGTGGTGCAGCATCAAAGATTATGCACAGAAAGGACCATCCCACAATCACTGAAAGCTGGCATCACAGTGGCCAGCCCCTGCCTGACTCCCAGCTTCACCCACGCTGAGGCTCTTGACTCCACGTGCAGGTTCTCTCCTGCCCTCCCGCTCCAGAAGGAAGGCAACTCCACACACAAGTTGTCAGCTCAGCATCTGCCTGCCTGGCTGCCACCCACACCCTGCTGGAGTTGCCACAGCGATGGAGGTAGCCTCTGCCTCTTGTCTCTTGCTTATAAACCACATTAGTCTTTGTTGAGCACCTGCCAACTGCCGTGTCTTCTGAACACCATCCTGCCTGTGCCCTACCTTGCTCTTACTTGGCTGCCTCCCAGAGAATGGGGCCTCTTGGAGCCCCAGTTTGGGGCCACATGATCTGTTATTCAGGGAGGCAGAATCCGGTCTCCTCTGACACCAGCGACCCCACTGCCACACACTGCCTACTTCAAGCCACACGGCATCATTCCAGCCTTGTGCCTGCTGCAACCTGCCTGCCAGCAGTTCCCAGACACCCCCACGTGTCTGGCCAGTCTTTCTCCCTCTGCAGACAGTGGTCTGGTGGAACAGAGACTGTGCATCAGATAACCCTGCCCATGGACCGCGTGACCTTCAGCAAGCTTCCTGACCTCTCTGAGCCTCATCATTAAAATTTGGATAACAACAGCTTCACTGGGCCGTGGAGGACATTCAAGGAATGGTTGCACTGTGACCTAACACCGTGCCTGGCACATGGGCAGTCTCCCTAAAGGTCACTTCCTTGTACTTCCTCCGGGCCCAGATGGCCTGTAACTCGTCATGCCCTGCTGAATCCCAAGATTCTACAGCGGTCATTAAAACGAATTTGTCACTTGATTCTGTAGCCAGGTGGCACATGACAGCCATTAATTTTTCAGATGAAAAATGGCTCTGCTAATTGAAAAACATCAAAAAGATTGAGGCTTACACAAATGTTCAGCTCTGTTTATTTTTTCTAATTTACTTTTCAGCAGTCAGTAAGAACTTAATGAGCTCTCATTTATGACTTCCTCCCTATTTATAGATATGAGGGCCTGCAGTGTTCTAGATGGAGACACTGAGAGCGTTCAGCCTGGGCTGCACAGCCAGGAGGGAACTGTTATGTTAACCAGGTGAATTCCCAACGGGGATTGCCACTCCTTGAAAACACAGCCAGCACCCTGTTCATTAGGAGAACGGCTCAGCTGCCACCTTACATCAGCTGGATTCCATTTTCCTCTCCCTGGGACAGGATTTTTGTCTGACTTGAAGATCTTTGTATAGCTTCATTTGGTTTGAGATGAAAATAGGTGACATTTATTGAGCAGTTATTCCATCCCAGGCACTGCACTGTGCACCTTGCATAGATTATTTCAATTTGGGGCTGGCGTTATGGCACAGAGTGTTAAGCCACCACCTGAGATGCCAGCATTTCATATCAGAGTGCCAGTTTGAGTACTGGCTGCACTGCTTCCAATCCAATGCCTGGGAAAACAGCAGAGGATGGCCCAAGTACTTGGGTCCCTGCACCCGTGTGGGCGACCTGGAAGAAGCTCCTGGCTCCTGGCTTCAGATCGGTCCAAGTCCAGCCATTGCAGCCATTTGTGAAATGAACCAGTGGATGGAAGACCTCTCTCTGTCTCTTTCTGTCTGCCTCTCTGTAACTCTGCCTTTCAAATAAACAAATGAATCTTAAAAATAAAAAGTATCTCAATTAATGGCCATCCTAATACTTCAAGGAGAGATGAGAGATTTAGAATTTGGAAACCCAGTTCTCTCTGGTCCAGGGCCCTTACTTTTATCACTGTGTCTACAGAGCTGTATCCTCTTTACAACAAGCAGAGCACCAATGGGTCTGCCCTGCTGAAGAGGGGAGCTGTGGAAGAAGAGCATTAGGTCAAGAGCCAGGTGACCGGAATGCAAGTCCCACCCCCGCCAAGAGCCCTCACAACCTGCAGCAAGCCCCTTACCCTCTCTCCCTCTATGGTTTGGAAAGATTCAGCCAGAATACTTGCATCTGCCCTTCTTCCCCTGTAGCTGAGCAGCACACACAGACACATGAAGGGAACTGGACAATCAGGGTGATTAATGGCCGAAACAGAGAACTCTCAGGCAAACCTGGAATGGCAAATCCAAATAGGACTGAGGCCAAAGTGGAGGCCTCTTACTCCCTCCCCAAATCCAGTCATCTCACATGCACTGCTCAGGCATGGGCTGAGGACCAAGTCCCTTGAGTCCTATGAAGAGACCAAAAAGACATAAGGAAAAGCCCCAGGAACACTGCCCACCAACAAAACACAAGCAAACCAGTCGTCCAGCGAAGAGAAGCAAGCCAGAGGGCAGACAGAGGCCCAGGTGTGCACTACAGCCCCTCCCTGAGCAGCGGCACTTGTGGGGACCAAGATAGGGAAAGGAGGAGAAAGAGCCCCCTAAAATTCTTCCCCTGAGAAATAAGGGACTGGGCCATGGAGGCAGGAAGGGACAGAAGTAGATGCACTACAGTGATGGCTGCAGCCATGAGAAGTTGAGTGCTGTCCCAAGGCTGGGCCTTACCTGGCTGAAGGTTTTGGAGGTGTGGTGGGGGAAGAGGTTGGTGTTTCTGCTTTGGAAACACTGAGGCTGACCCTGTAGGGATGAAACCTCTGTCTTCATGATTTCTGTCTACCCTGCCTCCAGCCCAGGTGGAGCCCAACTCAAGGTCAGGCTCAATCCGTATCTGTGAAGCAAATGTGAGAATGAGTAGCCAGGCTGAGGCTCAGCATCCTCCCGAGATGGTGGGGCCCCTGAGGCTGCGCTGAGACTTGATTCATGAGGCTGTGGTGCTGCGGGGATGTTAGCTCGTGTTATATCCATTCATTCTGACTCCCAATCACATAATTAACAGCCAAGGCGGCAGTGGTCTCTATAATAGAATTCGTGGGGAGATCATAGAAGGAAAATAATTTACTCAAGAGATCAGCTTTTATGATCCAATCACTAGCATAATTGCAGACCTCAGGCCTTGGGAAGTGTGTGTGAGCTCTAGCCTGGAACCCTGGGCCCCCCATTCACACTCCAGTGCCTTTCCCCACACACAGGGCTGGACAGAGGCTGCCGTGGAGGTGGAGTTTCGTACAGCCCAGGACTCCGGGGACCGCAGCTACAGCCTGGAGTGAGAGCTCTTGTTACAAATGGGGCTTGTCAGCCACTCCTAGCCTTGCTGGCACCTCACATGCCATGAAATCTCCCGGTTCTCTTCTTGGCTCCAAATACAAATGCCAGGGGAAGGCGTTTGGTCAGTAAAGACGCCACTTGGGGCATCCTGATCCCATATAACAGTACTTGGGTTTGAGTCCTGGCTCTGCTCCAGATTCCAGCTTTCTGCTAATACACGTCCCTGAGAGGCAGCAGGTTCAGTTGCTTAGGTCTCTGCCAGGCATGTGGGAAACCCGGATTGAGTTCCCAGCTCCTGGGCTGAGCCCCAGCAGCTGTGACCATTTGGGAAGCAAGCCAGAAGGGAAATCTCTCTCTCTCTCTCTCTCCCTCTCCCTCTCTCTCTCTCTCTCTTGACCTTATACTGATGACTGAACCATTGAGTTCATTTAACTACTAAGTAGCTGAGCTAGGATATGGCCCCAGATACCTTTCAGGTTTGGGAAAACCTTTTCCAATGATGTAATGCTTAAGCTGAGCCCTGGAAGATGAGAAAGTAGGAATTAGCTTAGTGGAGTAGATGAAATGAAGTTCCCATAGGAAAGAGGGCAGCATTTTTTTTAAAGATTTATCTGTTTATTTGAGAGGCAGAGTTACAGATAGAGAGAGGGAGAGACAGAGAAAAAGGTCTTCCATCCACTGGTTCATTCCCCAAACAGCCACAATGGCCGGAGCTAGACTGACTCTAAGCCAGGAGCCAGGAGCTTCCTCTGGGTTTCCCATACGGGTGCAGGGGCCCAAGGGCCACCTTATACTGCTTTCCCAGGCCACAGCAGAGAGCTGGATCAGAAGAGGAGCAGTGGGAACACGAACCGGTGCCCATATGGGATGCCAGCACTGAAGGCGGAGGCTTAGCTTACTACCCCACAGTGCTGGCCCAAGGGAAGCACTTTTGAAGTCCTTGAGATGAAGGATTCTAAATCCCACTCAACAAAAGATCTTGATTTCAAGGAGAGGAAGAGAAGGGAAAAGAGGGGAGGAGGGACAAAAAGGAGATGAGATCTGGTTCTTCCCATTCCCAAATGTTCCAAAGTCCTTTTCAGCAGATGGTTAATCCTGGGAGATACTCCACAGGAAAAAAAAAAAAAAAATTGGGAATTCCATGTGCTGTAACCTCCCCTTGACAATTCACCCAGCTCACTAACAGCGAGAAGACCTTGGGAAGGCCCGCAGGAAAGAACGCAAGTGGTCCAACCCATTTGACTACTTTTTCGGTCAGTACCCATTTCACATTTCACAGCACCCACATCAGAGAGACACATCCATAGATTAAGTTCTACAGCCACAAGAAAAGTGCCGCCATCTGCCTGAGGACCCGAAGCTGCCGTGCAGCCCAGACTACAGGTCTCCTGAGCAGGCCCGTGGGCACCCAAAACACTCCGGTCAAGCCCCAGGCTTAAGGTACCCAGTTCCAAAACAAGGGGGCATGGAGAGTGAAGCACACACTCCCTGTTTGATCCCCAGCAAAAGGGAGGAGGAGGCATGACTGGGGCTGGCTTACCAGAGATTTACTTCCCTGGCATCCTTTGGAATGGATATGCTGCATGATTGAGCCGGGCTTTGTTCAATTCTCAAAGCAATTTGCCAGGAGTGAGAAAGGAGCGCTTAGTAAAGCAAGTTGGTCAGTCCTGGATGATTACTTCTTATTCCAAAACAATTACTACAGAGGTAAAATGGGTTATGTTGCTGTAAAAAATATGACTCTCTCCAAACAGTATCACATGAATTCCCAACCAGAGCCATCAAGGCCACAGCCAAAGGCAGGCCAGGCATGGAAACGATGGGGAAGGTGCTGCTGCCCTGGCAGACAGTGGTGGCTTAAAACAGAATTAAAGCAAAGGGGGGCTGGATGACCAGGGGGAGGGGGAGGAATGGGGAGTATCCTGAGGAAGAGGCATAGACAACTACTCCGTTGCCATCTTCTTCCACCTAGACCCCCAGATGCTTAGAGCCCCCTAAATGAAGAGGGGGCTAAGCAGGATTTCTCAAGCTCAGCACTACGAACAGAATGAATTTGGTAATTCTGTGTTGTAAGGGGGGCAATTTAGATGTCACTAGCAGTCCCTTCTCTCTGCTACCCTGTGACCCAAAAACTCTCTCCAGACATTGGAGGGTAGGAAGTGGTATCACTCTTGGTTGAGAACCACTGGACCAAAGCAACATGGACATGGGGAAGGCTGCCTCGAAGTCCCTGATGCATCATAACTCCAGGTGAAAGCAGTGCCCATGCTCAGCCCCTCCCTAAAGAGAAGGTTTTCAGAGGCAGTTGCAGCTGGCTCTTCTCTTGGCACTGGAGGAGCAGGAGCAGCCTGAGGCTCTCTGGACCCGCGCCCAGTGGCTGGCATCACAGCCAGCACCCAGCCTGCTGTGCAGGGGACAGCAGCCTATGAGACAGAAGCCAGCGGATGTGGAGAGCCTTCCTGGCAAGCCAGGGACGCAGCTCCAGAGCCACTCGTCTTCCCCTGCCTGGCTTCAATCAAACCCTCCTGTGCTGTTGGGGGAAGACAACTTAAAATAGGAGGGCGGCCTTGAAGACTCACAGCGGTCCAGCAGGAAGAGTTTGCAAACTGCTTCTCAGAACAAAAGATGTTAGGGGCAGGCGTCGTGGTGCAGCAGGTGAAGCTGCTGCTTGGGACACCAGCATCGGCATCAGCTGTTTCACTTTTGATCTACCTTCCTGCTAATAGCGCACCTGGGAAATAGGAGAAGTTGGCCCAAGTACTTGGGCCCCATGCATATGGGAGACTCAATTGGAGTTCCTGGCTCTTGGCTTAGGCTCAGATCTGGCCATACAGAAAGTGAACCAAAGATGAAAGATCCCTCCCTCCTCCTCCTTTCTTCTGTCAAATAAATAAATCTTAAAAAAAAAAATTAAAGATGCTGATTGTTCACCCAGTAGCAACCAACAGAGGATGTTGATATACAAGGAGTCTTCAAAAAGCTTATAGAGGGGCTGGTGCTGTGGCAGAACGGGTAAAGCCACCGCCTGCAGTGCTGGCATCCCATGTGGGCACTGGCTGAAGTCCCAGCTGCTCCTCTTACCTGGGAAGGCAGTAGAAGATGGCCCAAATGCTGGGGCCCCTGCACTCACATGGAGACCCGGAAGAAGCTCCTGGCTTCAGATCAACCCAGCTCTGGCTTTTGTGGCCATTTGGGGAGTGAAGCAGTGGATGGAAGACCCCTCTTTCTCTCTCTCTCTCTGCCTCTGCCTCTCTATAACTCTGCCTTATAAATAAATCTTAAAAAAAAAAAAGCCTGTAGAAAATGCACAGTATGAAAAGACTAGGCACGGATTTAAAATCTTCTTGCACCAAAATAAACATTTCATTCCACTTTCCCACAAGCCTGTTGAAACCCCCTCATATATAATGGCCTGAGTCTGGCTCCCACAATTTTTATAAATAAGCTCCTGTTAGTTTCAGCTGCCTGTGGGTGACAGGGCCGGAGGGAGGCCTTGGCTTGCAGTTAAATACTGTGATCAGGTCCTAATGCTGCCATCTGTTAGGATCGCATCCCTCCAGCCACCCCTACTTCTCTCTCCAGTGTAAAATAAAGACAATGGTAGCCCCCACCTTGCCAGGTTGCTGCAAGATTCAAGTGTAACACGTGTGAAAGCACTTTGCAAATGCAGAGCACCTGACAGATGTTGGCTGCTTTTATTAACTCAAGAGGCCACATGGAAGTTGAAAAGCAAATCAGTTTTAATTCACTTCAATGTAGGTACCGGGCAAGTATTTGCAGTGCAGAAGACTGGAAAGAACCTCTGTTTTTTAATATAGAGATTAAGAGCAGCTAAGATGGGAGAGAAAAAGTGGGTCTATGTTTTTAAAATCGTAAGAATGGTTTTTAAAACAGCTCAAGGCCGGTGCCACGGCTCACTTGGCTAATCCTCCCCCTGTGGCACCAGCACCTAGGGTTCTAGTCCCGGTCGGGGCACCGGATTCTGTCCCGGGTGCCCCTCTTCCAGGCCAGCTCTCTGCTGTGGCCAGGGAGTGCAGTGGAGGATGGCCCAAGTGCTTGGGCCCTGCACCCGCGTGGGAAACCAGGAGAAGCACCTGGCTCCTGGCTTCGGATCAGCACGATGCGCCGGCAGCAGCACGCCAGCTGCAGCGGCTATTGGAGGGTGAACCAACAGTAAAGGAAGACCTTTCTCTGTCTCTCTCACTGTCCACTCTGCCTGTCAAAAAATAAATAAATAAAATTAAAAATTTAAAAAAAACTCAAAACTTTCAGGTACATGAAGAAGAAATAGCATTGCTCTTTTAAAAAAAATTTTATTATTTATTTTAAAGGCAGAGTTAGTTACAGAAAAAGAGAGAGAGACCTTCCATCCACTGGTTCACTCCCTAGATGGCCACAATGAATGGTGGGCCAAAGGCCAGGAGTTTATTCCAGGAGCCCAAGCACTTGGGTCATCTTCTACTGCTTTCCTGGGTACATTAGCAGGGAGCTGGATTGGAAGTGGAACAGCCAATGCTCATATAGGATACTGGTGTCTCAGGCGGCAGCTTAACCCGCTGCATCACAATGCATCGCTCTTCAAAATAGTCTTCCTGGGTCCTTTTCTTCCACTTCTTCAGACCTTTCTTTTCTTTTCCCCCATTTACCTCATTTCCATTGCTGCTCAGGCCTCTGAAGTCCAATTCATTGTTATTGGCAGCCACATGCAGAGCCACTCTGATGAAGCATTTAAATGCTGGTGGCACCATACAAGGCCATCTGCTGAGAAAATTACCATTGGTGCAGGAGAGGGGGAAGAAAAGAAAAGTGAGAGGGGGAGGGGGAGGGAAAAAGAGAGAGAGAGGGAGACAGGAAGTGAACAGAGGGGAGCTGGGCCTGACCTCCCTGGGCCTTCAAATCTCAGTATGAATATCTACATCTGGAAGTGGGAGGGCAAATGACATCGGCTCAGAGCCTGGTATGTGCTGGGGCCTCCTGCAGTTTATTGCGCCTAATCCTTGCAGCAATTTTAAGTGGGGCAGCATTTCCCCAAGTGAGATCCATGTCCTGCAAGTCATTCCTGGATTCAACCACTCGACCAAGGTTTACTGCACTGTCTCTGTGCCAGATGCTGATTCAGGTATTAACAAAAGCAAAGATTTGCAGAAGGCCTGGCATTTGCCAGACATTGCTTTGTTTATACTCACTGAATCACAACCACCTTATGAAGAAGATGTACCTTTATCATCCCCATTTTACAGATGGGCAAAGTTAAGTCATTGCCCAGAGTCCCCCAGCTGGCGTGACAGGCATACTCTTAGATGGCCCCCAATGACACACACCTCCTGGTATCCATGCCCTTGCACAGTCTTCTCCACTTGAGTGTGGGCTGGCCTAGTGACTGCTGCTAACCAAGAGGCTATGGCACAGGTGATGGCACAGGTGATGGCTGTCCTGTGATCAGGCCACATGAGACTGCGACTTCCCTCTTGCTAGCAGCCCCTCTTGCTGTGTTGCAGAGGCCCCCATAGCAAGAAACCAAGGGGAGACTCCAGCCAGCAGCCCACATGGAAGTGGATCCTGCCAACAATCATCTGGACTTGGGAGCAGACCTCTCCTCAGTATAGACCTCAGATAAGACCCTGACCCTGACCAACACCCTGATTGAAGGCTACTGGGAGGCACTGAAGTTAGGACTCAGCTCCACTCTCCTGGATTGCAGACCCACAGCAACCGTGAGATAACAGCCATAGCCTCTGCTGTGTGGTCATTTGTTACACAGCAGGAAGTAGCTGGCACAACCAGTAAGTGGCCTTGGTGGGGCTAACACTCAAGCCCCTGGCTTCCAGGTCTAAACCACCACTGTGCTAACCATTACATTACAGCACCTTTCATGTCAAAATGTTATGTTTGCCAAAGCAAATAAACAAACAGACATGGTAATATGATTTGGAAATGTTGACTATTAATCCCCCCCCCCTTTGAAGATTCATGTTACAGGCAGAGAAGTCCCATGGTAAAGGGGACCATGGGTCTTACCTTCACCTGACCCTGTGCAGCCTGTACCCGTCTTGGCACAGAACTCCTTCTCTGTGATGTCCCTGTGGCAGCCACCAAAGTAGGCCTCCACGCAAGACATTTTGGACCCATTGAAAGATGCATAATCCCCTTATTTCACAGAGGAGGAAAGTGAGACTCTGACAGGCTAGCCAGTGGTCAGAAGGCACACATGAGGTCCGTGAGCCCAAACTTGTGGTCTGACCCAAAGACCCGAGATCTTCCCAGTAAGCTGACCTCCAAAGGGCAGGGGTGTCACAATGGCCCGAGGAGTAGGGGAGGGGGTGGGGATGCACAGCCTGAAGCAAGCACCACTTGGCTGACTGAAGTCTCAACCAAGCAGCCATCCCCACACCTGCAAGTCCGCCGTGCCCATGTGATGTCACCTGCACACTGGGAGGCAAGGAAGTCTTGTCCAGTCCACTGCAGCCACAACTGCAAAATGACCATGGTGAGAAGGGACAAATAGGAAGGCGTAGCCCCATGAGCTACTGAGGGAGCCTCCTCGGCTTCAGCTACCCCAGCTTTGCTGCCTGTTCTGCTTTGCTTGGCCAATCTGGTCCCAAGAACCTGAGTTGCCCACTGCCCACAGGTACCTGAAGATGAGCAGTCCTCTTAGGCTATAGATGGCCATCCAGAATCACCTCATTAACTCACCTTTTGAACAGACCTCTGAAAAACTGACAGGAAGGAGGAAGGGACGTTGCCAAGTGGGACACTGCTCCATCTTGGATGCTGATACCACACTGCAGCATTTAATCCTAACAACCGGATAGGCACTTGGCACAGCAGTTAAGACGCCTCTTAGGATCCCCTAATCCCATTTCAGAGTGCCTGAGTTCAAGTCCCAGCTCTGCTTCCTATCTAGCTTCCTGCTAATGTGCACCCTGGCAGCAAGTGATGGGTCCCTACCACCCATGTGGGAGACCTGGATTGAATTCTTTGCTCCTGGCTTCAGCCTCGTCCAGCCTTGGATGTTGTAGGAATTTGGGGCATGAACCAGAAGATAGAAATTCTCTCTCTCTCTCTCTCTCTCTCTCCTCTTTCTCTCAGCCTTTGAAATAAATAAATAAACAATTTTTAAAAACAAAATTCTAACAACCTTCTGAGGTGGTAATGCTCTTCCCTCCCATTTTACAGACAAGAAAACTGAGGTGCAAAAAGATTAAAGCATCCGCTTAAGGTGAGTACATGTTAGCCAAGACTTAACCCTAGGTGTGTCTGACTCCAAAGCCCAGGATCCATCTAAATGCAGTTCAACCCGGCAGTCATTTGGCCTAGGTGTTCAGATACCAGCCAAGACAACCACGCCCACAGCGGAGTGCCTGGGTTTGACCCCTCCTCCCACTCCTGACTACAGTTTCTTGGTACTGTGCACCCCGGGAGACGGATGGTGGTGATGGCTCAGGGGACTGGATTCCTGCCATCCTCACGGGAGACTCAGATGGAGTTTCTGGGTTCTGGCTTCACCTGGCCCAAGTCCTGCCATTTAGGGTATTTGAGGCGTGAACCAGCAGATGGGAGCTTGCTTGGGATGTGTGCATGTGTGCATGTGTGTGAGTGTGTGAATGTGTGTGTGTGTGTCTCAAATAAAAACAAATGCAGTTCAGGCAGGCAGCTGCACAGAAGTCCTCTCCCCTCTCTTCACCCTTCACATAAAGGTGCTGAGAAACGACTGTGTCGGGAGCATCCGGAGAACGAGCAGCACGAGAGGAAGGCACCGTCTCTGCAGGCCATGCACACTCAGCCTGTTCCACGTTTCCAGAAAAGGAGCAACTCAGGGAAGGGACACTGGACACCCTCCACGGACAGATGTAGAAAAACACTCAGGGGCAGCTTAGGGTAGGCAGTTTGGGGTTCCTTTAACTAGCCATTTTTTTTTAAAATCAAGTGCAAGGAGGTACACTTCTGAAAGAACAGAGGAGGAGTTTTGTCATCCAGGATGCTATGGAAAGTCTGTGGTCAGGACCATGACAGGGTTCTGTCAGCGTCAGAGGTTCCACCTGGGACCAAGTAGTGCTTGGATACCCAGCCACATATCATATCAACGCGCCTAGGATCCACAAACAACCCTTTGTGCAGACAAGCTGTGAAAGCAGATGTCTTAGTTAATATTCCATGGGGATGCTCCTGCACTCACATTTCCATGTGTGTGTGTGTGCGTGTGTGTGTGCTGTAAAACTCAACCACTCCTACATGGGCAAATAACCATGAATCACTCCATCAACCCACAAAGACACACGGAAGAGGAAATTTGCAGGCGAGGAATCCACCCCCTACGCTGCACCAGGCACCGAGTATGCATTACTGTGTGTGTGACACTCCACTTGCTAGGTGGGCCAGTGAGAAGCTTTGAGAGGTTGTTCTACTTGCTGCAGCCACACAGCTAGTCCATGGCCAATCCGGGATCTCACGCAGGCTGGTCCAGATGCAAATTGTGCTGTGCTGTGCTCTGCACTGTGCCACTTCCTAGAGGAGAGACAGGGTGACAGGGAAGGAAGAAAGAGCAGTGGGTCATAACTGTAAACAGTGTGCTGTTGCCTTATACATCCAAGCCCAAACACACAGGGTCCTGCCCGGTGTGTCTCACTAGACTCATTTCACACATGAGAAAGCAATGGCTTGGATGGGGTTAGTAAATTGCTGCAACATCAGTCATGATCTGAACTGATGTACATCTGAATCCATAGCTGGGGGGCAGGCATGTCAGCACAGCTGGGTAAGTTGGTTAAGACGCCACTCGGGATACCCACACCCTGTATCAGAGGGCCTGGTTCTGACAACTCCACACTTCTGATACAGCTTTCTGCTAACACAGCAGATAATGGCCTGGGAAATTGGGTTCCTGATACCCACAAGCAAGTCCTAGATGGAGTCCCGGGCTCCTGACTTCAGCCTGGCCCACTTATGGCTCTTGTAGGTACCTGGGGGAGTGAACCAGCAGATAGAAGGTCTGTCTGTCTGTCTGTCTGTCTCTCCCTCTCTCCCTCCCTCCCTCCCTCTCTAACATTCTGCCTTTCAAATAAATATTCTAAGAAAGGGGATCTATAGCCTGCGATCTGTCCAGCATCAGTGCACACTGATACAGCTCTGCCTCTCTCCCCCAGCTCTTCATCCTCATCACCCCACCCCTTCCCACCCTGCTCCCAAAGCAAAGATTTGGGAAGTAAAGGCAGGAATTAGGGGCCAGACTGGTTGCCAGGCACCAACACACAGAAGAGGTGTGGGGGACACGTGTTTATCTCAGTCCTCCATGGTGAGTCAGGATGGGTTTGAGGCACAGCTAAGAAGACCTGTCAGTGACACAGCGTGACATATGCACTAGCTGAAGGAAGGAAGGCAGGGCAATTTGCTGCCTCTGGACTGATTATCTGAGCTCACTTAACTTCAGTGGTCCCATCAGTAAAGTGGAGCCAAGTTAACTTCAGTGGTCTCATCAGTAAAATGGAGCCAACCGCAGGCATGGTGTCTGGAGGAAGCAGGTAGCCCCAGAGGCAAAGGCCTTTGGTCTGAGGCCAAAATCCAAAATCACCCAAGCACCAAGTGGCCAAAGGAAAATCACATCTGGCAGTGCAAATCCAACCAAACACTTGCCTTTCCAGCTCCTTCCTCCCCTCCTCTAAATCTAAGAGAGTCACAAATTTCTAGCTTGTTTATTTTTTGCCTAAATAGGAACCAATTTGCTTTTTTTAGAAATAAGATTCCATTATGTGATTCCCGTTGTAGCTCACCACATCCATTTAGGGAAGCATCTTAGAATAAAAATGAAACATATTTCTAAGCAAGTGTTTCAAAAACGCTCTGGCAGGAGGCAAGAGGTCTCAGCCTGGTGTTCTGTTTGTCCTCTCTTCTCTCTGCTCCCCACACAGCAGTGAGTGGTTCCTCCTGTCACATCATCCATCCATTTACCCATTACTTTCTAGATCCACTAAAATGTGTTTATTTATTTATTCATTTGGCACCTACCAAATTATAGGCTGTACTGGTTGCTTGGGAAACATGCTCATGAATGAGCAAAAAATAGACACTGTCCTTCTCCTTGTAGAATTTAAAGTCTAGGGGAAGAGAAGGGAATTACTCTATTAATCACATGCAAAAAAAAGTATAATTAAAAACTATATTAAGGGCTTGGAAAGAAGAAGACGTGATGCTGTCAGAACAAATAACAGAAAGACCTGACCTGATTTCAGACAATGATGCTTGAGATGAGACCTGAAGAACAGGTGGGCATGAGGGCTTGGGGACATGACATCTTATAAAGATGCCTGGAGAACAGGTTGGGTGAGAGTGGTGGCAGTGGGGGAAGGGTGTGCTCCTTGAAGGGCTCTAGGAGACAGGTGACCTTATGTTGGCCTTACAGTGGTGGCTCCAGGGTAGGGCACAAAGGACAGAGTACAAAGCCAGGTGAGCTGGTCACTGACAGACATAGCAACCAGAGAGTGAAAGCAGAAGGTGGCAAGGCCGACTCTTGGCATTGGGTCTGGGGAACTGGATGGCTCATTGAACTTACCACCTACTGTGTCACAGGGTCCAATGCTATGAGTGTCACAAAGAAGCACTGGCCTCAGATCTTCTCCTGCATCCACACCAGTCTCTTATACCATCCCCACCTACCCAACGAGCTGACAAGAACCACATCACCAAATCCCACATCCTCTCTGTTCCAGAAACTGTCAGGTTCCATCCTAGACTCCCTTGTTAAAACAAACAAACAAAAACAAGCAGGCATGACTCCTGCCCCGGTGTGGAGGTAGGCCTTCCCTTCCACACGCCCTGGTGGTCCACCCTGACCCACAGTCTGTCTCGGGCCCTCAGCTGGGCTGTGCCCTTGGTTTCAACATCCACTCTGTACTGTTTCTAGCAGCTGTGCATGCCTTGCCAGCAGCCCCCTCCCAGCTGCACACTGTGTGCCTGCATCTGATGCCTGAACTTGGCTTTCATCCTTGCATGCTCAGGGGTCAGGGTCTGTTCCCCACTCTAGCTCTTTCCTCTGCCCTGCAGGCCAGGCTTCCATGATTAAGACATTTCTAAGAGGGTTATTAAAAGCCCTATGATAGAGAGCATGAGTGCACCTATTTGGGTGGGCTTTTTTTATGATCTTTATTTTATTGATTTGAAAGGCAGCGTGACATGGAGAGAGGGAGAGAAAGACAGAGAGATCTTCCATCTACTCTTTCACTCCCCAGATGGCTGCAATGGCTGTGGCTGGGTCAGACTGAAGCCAAGAGCCTAGAACTCCATCCAAGTCTCCCATGTGGTTGTCAAGGGCCCAAGTACTTAGGCCATCTTCTGTTGCTTTCCCAGGTGCCTTAGCAGGGAGCTGGATTGAAAGTGGAGCAGCCAGACTCAAATCGACACTTGTGGCATCACAAGCAGTGACTTAACCCACTGTGCCACAACACCAGCTCTGTTTGGCAATTTATTCTCTTTCATTTTTTGAGCATAAATGTATGTGAATGTGATCATTCCCCCACACAGCTCCAGATGGCCAGAAAGCAGGAATGAAAATGTTTGGATTTTTTTCTGGGAAGTCATCACAAGGACTGGTAAATCTTCTCCTGAAAGAATATTTACCAGGTTCTGGAGAGAAGACCAAACTCGAGTCCCCACTTAGCCATAAACTGAAATAGTAGTATCAGAGGTTAATCTGGGTTTGGTCCCTTTCCCCTGTAAGCAGCAAATAACTTCCACCCTCCAGGGGTATTATGAGGTCTAAATGGGGTTGAGGCAATCACCAGGTACCATGCACAAGTGGTTCTTTGGGTTCAATTTAAAGTTTCAATCCCCACATCCACCTTCTCTAGACCTGTCTCCCCTGTCCACCATTCAAAGAGACACTTTGGTTGGCCAAAGATGTCCTGGGGGCCTGATGGACACTGTCATCCTTTGCTATCATTTGAAAGAGAAGGTAGTGATGCATTCTGCTGAGCGCCCTGGACAGGTATTTGGCCCAGTGGTTAAGGTGCCATTTGGGACGCCTACATCCCCTATCAGAGTGCCGGGGTTTGAGTCCCAACTTTCCTTTCCATTCCATCTTCCTGCTAATGTGCATCTGGGAAGGCAACAGGAGATGGCTTGGGTCCCTACCACCCATGTGGGAGATACAGATTAAGTTCTAGTTAAGCAGATAGCCACCCAATAAAGACATAAACCTGAGATAAGGCAGGTACTGTGTGAGAGATGATGGCAGCAGTGAGAAGGAAGATTTAGCGAGAGGTCCAGGAGGTTCAAAGAACTGGAGAAGCTTGAAGGGGGCATGAGACAACGCACATCAGCCTGCAACCTTCCTGAGGACCATGAGTAGGAGAAGATGTTGAAGATGGGAGGACTTTTTTGAATCAAAAGGAGTCACGGTGGAAAACAGAGAAAGAACCTTCCCCTTCTGCCTCTCGCAGAGTGTTTTCCTGTCATGTCAGAGAATTTTCATCACAGAGGAATAAAACATTCTCAGACTGGGAAGTGAGACAGCTCGCTCGTGCTTGTTCTTTTAAGAGTGTGCTGTGGTAAAACCAGTGACCCACTAACAGCCTACATGCACTGTCTTCTTTTGTTCTTTTCTTTCTTCCTGTGCCTGAAATGGACAAACATAAGGTATTGCACTATCATGGAGAAATTAGGCAGCCTCGAACCTCAAGCTGAACCAATTTGGGGAAAGTAAACTTTTTTGTAATAATCATTCACATGTAATAATCAAGGGACAAACTCTAAGCTACATTCAAAACCCCATCCCTAAGCCAGGTGTTTGCAAAGCCTGGTAGTTAAGATGCCTGTTAAGATGTCCACGTCCCACACTGGGGCTACTACCCAACTCCAGCTCCTGACTCCAGCTTCCTGCTAGTGCAGACCCTGGGAGGCAGCAGTGGTGGCTCATGTGATTTGGTTCCAGCCACCCACATGGGAGACCTGACTTGAGCTCTTGGTTTCCAGCTTCAGCCTGGCCCTAGTATTTTGGGAGTAAACCAAAAACTGATTCTCTCTCTCTCTCTCTCTCTCTCTCTCTTTCTTTGTCTTTCTTCTCTCTATATAACTCTGACTTGCAAATAAATAAATAATTATTTCTAAAAAAATAACTTTTCTAAAAGCATCCTTAGTATTTACTCAAAAACAATAAGAACCTTCAAGGCAAATCACTGGAGTGGCTGAATAACATCTAGCGCAATATTTAATGATGCTTATAAATCCTTAAACCCGGCAGGGCCCCTCCTGGCTAGTGACAGAACAGTGATGCCTTTAAAATTGTGTTTACTTACATCAGCGGGCCATCAACAAAGCGTGCGTCAGCATCTGAACTTGACACGTCTTTTCTGCTGTCTTTCAAGATAACCAGGAATGCAGTGTGAAAGGGCTTGGCAAAGTTGTCTTGCCAAAGTCCAGACAGTAACTAGCTCAGGTTCTGCTGGCCACACGGTCTCTGACCCCTCCATTCCTATGGGAGGGTAAAAGCAGTCACAGCTAATCTGTAAGTCAATGAGCAGATCTGTGTTCCAACAGAAGTTCATTTACAGACCTACACATTTGAATTTCCTTATAATTTTTGCATGTCCTGAGTATGATTATTATTTTGATTTTTTAAACTATCAAGCAGTGTTAAGGCACACTACACAGACAGGTGGTGAGAGAACCCAGCCTGAGGGCAAGGTTGCAGCAGTAGAAAGAACATAAACATTGCTTTTTCACAGTCTGGGTAGCATTTCTCTCTCTCTCTCTCTCTCTCTCTCTCTCTCTCTCTCTCTCTCTGCAATGGAGACAATGAGAGGGCCTTGGTGAGAATTCAATGAAGTGATGCGTGGAAAGTAAAGTTCCAGAAGAATCCAGAATGGCTGTTGAGTGCTCCTGGTGCCGGCTCTATCACTCTCCCCTGCTTACTAATTATCTTCCTTCCTGTGTTTTTGTTCATTTCTCCTTTCTCTTTTTACTTCATCTTCCCCTGGAGCCACTAGTCACGCAATGGCGTGTGAGCACAGAAAACCAGCCCTCCCCCTCATGACTGGAGACGGCCTGGCCCCTGCGAGCTGACTCTCAGCTGCTATTCACCATCGGGGAGAGACAGATGAAGCCACAGCGGCTTTGGGAAGCTGGATGCTGCCTCCCGGGGAGCATGCCCCATTAGAGACAAGGATCTCCTTGAGGGGATTTGCAGCAGCAGCACATGCCAGTGGCAGTTACGTGAGCCACCCACCCTCCTCCCATGCTTGCAAGTTCCCCAAGTCCTACCAATCACAAGCCCTACAGTTCAGAGCCTCCTGTACCAGGCTCAGTGTGTCCCCCCAGGCTGGATGGGGGTGGAGGAGCCACTCTTACCATCATGGAAGGAAAAAGTGAGCAGTAGGCCCCAGGAAGAGATGAGGAGCCTCGGGCCCAGCATTGTGGGGCAGTGGGTTAAACCACCGCCTGTGATACCAACATCCCATGTGGGCACCAGTTCATGTCCCATCTGCTCCACTTCTGACAGCTCCCTGCTAATGGCTTGAGAAAAGCACTGGAAGATGGCCCAAATGTTTGTGCCCCTGACACCCACGTGAGAGACCCTGATGAAGCTCCTGGCTCCTGGCTTCAGCCCTGCTCAGCCCTGACCCCCTTGCAGCCATCTGGGGAGTGAACTAGTGGATGAAAGGCCTCTCTCTCTCTCTCTCTCTCTCTATATATATATATATATATATGTATATGTATATATATATATATATATATATATGTCTCTAAAAAAGAAAGAAAGAGGACCCCTGCGCTTCCTGAAAGCAGGAGAATGGACTCCAAGTGGGGTCTCCAAAATTCCCAGAACCTGGGGCAGGCATTGTGGCACAACAATCGAGCAGCTGTTTGTGCTGTCCCCGTCCCATGTCCGAGTGCCTGGATTCAAGCCCCATCTTCACTTCCAATCCAGCTTCTGTTACCATGCACCCTGGGAGGCAGCAGGCGAGGGCTCAAGTGCTTGGGTCCTTGAAACTCCTGGCTTCAGCCTATCTCAACCCTGGGTATTGCAAGCATTTGGGAAGTAAACCAGCCAATGAAAGATTCTCTCTCTCTCTCTCTCTCCCTTTCAAATAAATTTAAGAAA